CGGTCGTGGAGGCGTGTGGGTGACTGGCCTCTCTGAGCCCCGTCGCGGTTCCTGATGCAAGGTGGGTTTGTTCAACTGGAGCTTGCTCTCATGCTCCCGTCGTACAGAGTTCATGTTCCTGGGCTCTGGTCCAGCAGCAGAAAGCGTACGTCATTTTGGTTTTTCTATGCAAGTGCCTAGACACTTTAAAATAGAGTGTGGGCGAATGTTAGCAGGGTAAAAAGTAGAGTTGGTGAACCTCTGCAGGTAGAGACCACGTCTGTCCATGTGGCTATGAAGGTGTCTGTCACAGGCAGATGCAAGTCTGACTGTGGCTGACGGCATAATCGTGATGATAATAATCTGTGATTATAACTAAGAAACAGATTCTTTCTCTAGGTTCGCAATTGCAGCTGCACATCACAGTTCCACAGAGGTTGCTCTCAAAACCAGCTGGAGAGAGGGTACTTAAGTAACCAAGTTATTTGGTGTTTGTGTGTGTGCGAGTGGATATACACGTGCAGAAATGCCACGTGCAACAGCCGACGTGCGACTGGTAGAGGGAGGGTTTTAGGAGACCACGTTCTGCCTGCTGAGCTCTTGGGCTTGCCCTCGGAGCTCGCTTTTCCGGAGTCAGTGTTCCTAATTCTCCCTTTCTCCGCTTTTCCACGCGTGCAAGGACACGGTGTCCTACGTCCTCAGCATAGAGGGGAGGCCGTACACCATCCACCTGCAGCAGCAGTAAGTCGGCCCTGGCGTTGCCCGTCTGACCGCTGCCGTCCTGTTCCCCGGCAGCTGCTGGGCCGCACGCTCTGTCCCCGGCACAGGATGGTGCTGGGCTGTGGGGCGATTCCCACCTGCGGGTGTTCGTGCCGGTGCCGTTCCCTTGGGCTCTTTCCAGCCTCCGCGGCTGGCGGGATTGTGCCCCACTGCAGGCACGTCCCATAGCCCACGGGGGATGTGTCCGTGTGTGCCACGCGCCCGAGTGCCGGGGCAGAGGGCTGCAGGAGGGTTTGAGGGATGGTCCTGCCCACGACCGCTGATGGCAGCGGGTTCTGGATCTGCCAGAGCGACAGCGCAGGCAGCGGGACCTGGAATAAGTTCAAGAAACTGGGTAAGACCATTTTAGAGCATTTTTAGAGGATTTTACTGTTCTTCTGTTCTAGATTCTTTTTATCTGATGACTTCAGGATTTACATGTACAATGAGAAGGGATCTTTGCGCTCCGACTCGCCCCATATCAAGGTAATGGTGACCTGCTTGGTGTTTCTGTTGCTGCCTTGTTCCAGGGTAGCCTCGCTGTTTGGTGTTTTGGGGAATGTCACTAGTTAGTGGAGGGGAGCAGTACTTCCTCTCTCCACATTTTTGATTCCTACTCAGGGCAGGAGCTGCTGGGATGAAACAAAAAGTTTTCTGTGCAAATGCATGGTCAGATTCATGTTTGTGAAGGTTTCTGGAGTCGCTGAGTTGGCTCGGTTCAAAGCCTGTAAGCCAGGCCATGGCTACCATTCCTTACGGAGAGATCTCGAGAAGAGCCCCCAGAGCCAGCAGTGCAGCTCTGCACGGGGCAGGGCAGTTCCTTGTCGTGAGGACGCCACATCTCACACCGTGATTTGGTTTTAATTGCTCGGGCCAAAGAGAGATTGTCCACAAAGTCCTTGTTGTGCCATCACTTGACGGGGAATTGCCCTCACGGCCATGGAAGGGGCTCCTTGTCCTCTGTCGTGATGCAGGGAGGCTGTCACTACCGGGGGTACATCGATGGCTTCCCCAGCTCGGCCGTGACCCTCAGCATCTGCTCGGGGCTCAGGTAGGGAACCGCCGCCTCCCCGCGCTGCCCTGCCCGTTAGTGCCACGGCCACCAGCGCCCGGTGGCAACTGGCCGGTGCCGTCACCTTGGCAGGGGCCTGCTGCAGTTTGAGAACGTCAGCTACGGGATCGAGCCCCTGGGTTATTCCCCGTCGTTCGAGCACTTTGTGTATCGAGTGAGCGATGAGAACACGGCAGGTTCCCTCTTGGCCAGCAGCCCCCCAGGCGGGCTGACAGCGGAGGAGATGATCTTGGCATTCCCGCACCTTGAAGTGAGCGTGTGGCTGTTCTCGGGGCGATGTGGATGTCCCCATCAGGCGAGGAGCCGGCGGGAAGCTTTGCCGTTGGTGCCTGGATGGGCAGAGATGGGGGGGGGGGCGTTTGGGAGTGCCAGTGCTCGTGGCGTGGTGTCGCCTGGAGCGTTGCTCATCCCGTGCCTAACTGAAAAAAGTCAGAAATGGCTCGGTGGAACGGCTTCCTTCTTATGTGATTTTTGAAGACAGCATCGAAGTATTGCTTTTGAATAGACACTTGAGTAGTGTGTCACACGTCAGGAATAGAGTGACTATAGAAAGGAGAAACAAATAGCAGTGGAGACCATTTTCTTTCTCAGCCACTACCAGCTGCAGCGCAATCTCCCAAATACCTGGAAGTGTACGTAATTTTGGACAAGCCTTTGGTAAGTCCGTGCCAGTCGTTTTCTCCTTGTGTTTGCCTGACTTCTGTGAGCACAGAAATGGTGCCATTTCCCAGCTTCTATATGTATTTGTTTTCTCTTTTGAAAAGTTAGGCGTGCTGTGGATTTTGTAGGGAAGAAAGAATGAAAATTTGTATGATTGTATGGTGGCAATCACCGCAGCGTTTCCACGTTGTTCTCTTTCACTGGGGTAAATGCCTTCTCTGCTCTTATGTCCTTTTGGGTTATTTTTCAGTACAACTATATGGGTTCAGACAGGAATTCCGCAATGCAGAAGATAATCCAGGTCTTCAATTTAGTCAACAATGTAAGTTTTAAAGTCCGGTTTGCGTTGTAGTACGATGATGGGTGGGTTGATGTTAGTAATGGCCACCTATTTCCCAGCTCCTTTTGGTTTTAGGAGGAGGTTATGTAAAAAAATTCCAGGTCTTGGCTCGCGCTGTTCTGGCCGTGACGGCTGGGCATGGCCTGGCCGGAGCTCCTAGCTTCTCGGCAGCCTGGTCCGGACTTGATCCGCAGTGGGCGAGGGGTTTAGTCCCAGTGGGCTAATACAAAGGTTTGGCTTAACGACTGTGAAAACAGGCTTTTATCAGGCTTTGCCAGGACCAGCAGTATGGCCCGTGCCGGAGTTATGGTTAGCTGCTTGGGTGCGTCTTGAACTGCGACGAGTTGATGTCGAGGAAAGTTCTGTTTAGCAGAATGGAGGAGGAATTTGCGGGACCTGGCCGCTGCCCCCCCCATTTCCATTTCACAGAGCGACCGCGCCAGGACCCTGGAGCAAGCTGGCTGGCACGTATAGCCTGTGAAGTGTTTCCCGAGGAGGTTTTCTCTAGAAAATGCTACCCGTTAACATCCCTCCATCCGTGGTGGCAATGTCTCATGCAGATGTCCAAAAACGCAGGCAGTTTGCCGTAGGGCAGCTGAAGTCCAACGTTTTGAGGCTTCTTGGATTGTTCCCCTCTCCGTGCCGCAGATTTGTCTCTCTGATCAGCCATACGATTAATCTGTTTCCACTCGGTATAAGCAACTTCTCATCCTGTTCTTCCCTCCAGTGGTGCTGTCAGGATTCGTGTGTGTAATGACAAGTTATTCACAACCCCCCTAAACCCTTCCTGTGAAGTTTTTAGGTTTTGTTCTCGGGCCTCTTGGTACATCTTTTTATTGTTGAGGTTTGTTCATTCTATTTGTCATGCAGATGTCATTCGGCGACTGACAATAGCAATTGGCTTTTCCTGCGTGATTTATTCTGTATAGAGCTGTAATTCTGCTCAGAAGGAAAGGTACGTGAGCAGGCGCTTCCTCTGTTACGTTTCAGATGTTTAATCCTCTTAATGTAACTGTTGTGCTGTCCTCCCTGGAGCTCTGGACGGAGGAGAATAAAATATTGACAGCAGGGGAAGCAGATGACCTTCTACAGCGATTTTTACAGTGGAAACAGTCCTATCTCGCTCTGCGGTCGTACGACGTGGCTTATCTATTAGTGTAAGATAAAGGTTTCCTTGCTCGTTAAAGCTTACGTAGTAGAAATCAGTTAAACCAATGTCAGTTGAACTATAAAGAGTCCCATGAATTTTTTTTATTTTTTTTTAAGAAACATATTTCTTACATATTTCCTAATTCCTTAATATTCTGAAAGTATTTCTCTCCAGACGTACCTTCTAGCCGGCCTTTCAGTGGCGATGCAGCGCAGGCGATTGCGCCGCACGTCCCGGCAGCATTGGCTGATAAGAGGCTCCGCCGCTGCCCTGGCAAGGGGACGGCTGC